CAATGCTTTTTACCACAAATCTCAGATCAAGTTCGAATTTGGGTGGCGTCACTTCTACCTTTCTTGATTTGTGTCCGTTTATAACGTTATTTGCAAGCGGGGGCATCATATGTGTCCCATGCACACATTCTCCATTTATTTTTGGTTCAATCGAACAACTATGACTAATCTGAAAACCCAAGTCCAAGGTAGACCTTAGTTCGTGCTGACTTTTTTCATTCAGGCTCTTTTGATTTTTATGCTACCGAACGTTTCAAATAGTTGGCTTACCAAACTTTAGGCCTCAAGTGTACTTTCTTTTCAGAAATGAGTCTCCTTTTGAGGTATCACATGTTTATAAGAGACCATTGTAAACTTATATATCCATCCGCGTTGACACCAGTACCTAGCAACCATCTATTATTGAAATTATAAAAGTGCATTATCTTATCAAAACACAGAAAAGTTTTTCTTCTGTCAGCAATTGTTTTATAAATTCATATCAATCCTTATGATTTTACTCTCATTTATTTTCACTTGCAAAGAGGACTGCACTTACTGCTTTTACTGCATACATATGCATTACTTTAATTGGTCGACACATATTCATTTAATGTACTTACTTGTGAATTAGACTGTACCCAAGAGTAAACATTATTCTCAGCACGATCGTTTAATCCAATCCAATATTCATCATGTACTACAGCTATACGATCTGTTTAATAGATACGATTTATTAGAACAAGCATTGAGTGTGCACTAACTTCTATCAACACTGCGTTGATGTTGCATTAAAGAATATAGTCCACCAAGTTTCTAGTTTATTAAAGATAACGTTTTTGCACTTCATTTTGTATTTTTTTTAACAGTGCGTTTACATTCGTTTAGTGTGTTTGAGCTTTTGATTTTGCCATTTGATAAGGGACTTTCCGTTTTGAATTTTCCTTGGAGTTCGGTATTTTTGTTATTTCACTTTTTACATCGGTGACTCTGCAAATCGATGATATTAGCTGCCTAGAAGCTAATATTCCAATTATCGCATGAATTAAAATGCACTTTTGCTCAACATTTACTGGTCACAAATATGATTTTTTAAGCAAGTTCAATATGTCATTCTCCTCTCTAATGTTAATTTATTCTTGAAAAAACTTGTTTTTTTCTCAAAATGTTATAAAGAAACAATTTTTCGTTCACTGTTGTTAATTACTTCGTTGGTCGGTGGTGTTTCTTTGCCCCCTTCTTATGATGTATCCATTTACAAACTTGTCCACTATGTCCGTGTATGTAGTCAAGGATTTCGTGACCAAAAAATATTTAAATTTTCAAAATTTAAACAGATATAAACATTTGTTTTTGAAATTTTATTGAACCTGTAGAAACCTTAATACAAACGGAATATCACATCCTAATTTTAAGATTAATATTGTTTATATAGCGTGTAAAAGAGAGGCGACAGATACCAAAAGAATATACAAACTCATCAGTCGAAAACAAACTGACAACGCTATGGCAAAAAAAAAAAAACGACCAAAGTCAACAGTTCACAAAACACGACATAAAAAACTAGAAAATGAGCGACACGAACCCCTGCAAAATCCGGAGGTGATCTCAGATGCTCCAAAAGAGTAAGCAGATCCTGCTCCACATGTGGCACCCGTCGTGTTGTTTATGTAAGTACAAATCCGATGATAAGTCTAATTCGGTAGGTCACATTCATGGAAAAGTGGACGCGATTGTGTTTACGACAACTAGAACATATCCCTCGTCATCTGTGAAGCAGATATTTCATAATATTTAACCAAATCGTGATTGCCTCCTTTAACATTTTCGAATTGATGATTTCAACTTCACCACTTGGAACTCTAGATTTAAAATCTTTCTTGTAACCAGCACTCCTCTATCAAAGAAATCGTGATAGAAAATGCAAGCAATAGACTATCGTATCATCTGGGAGATATATACTCCATATAAAGGCGCTGCTGGAATGTTGCTACGTAGAATTCGAAAGTTCACAATTGGTAAGTTGAAATCATCTCTTTTGTCGTACAGTTTTGTTCTCAGCTGCCCTAATTGTCAATTCTATGTGTAAGTCAAGATATGAGGCAGACTAAATTATATCTGTTGTATCCTTATTTCAAGTTCGATTGAATAGATACATTCAGAATAGTCACCAAACTTTGAATTATTTAGTGAGAGAGCATCATCTATTTAGTGGATCGAAAAGCTTACGGATAATGCTAGTTTCTTTTCATTCTTCATCAGAAGCCCCTTTATGAAGTCAGCCTCATACGAATAAAGGAACAAGTCAGTAAAAAAAGAGTAGCACAACTGTTTCCCATGTGAATACCGATTGTTTGTTGAAAAACACGTCCTCCAAACAAAACAAAAATATTATCAATCAAGAAATCAAGCATCTTGATATTGTTAGTTTCAGAGATTTTTATTTGAATCTGAGTGATTTTTCAAAGTACGATTCATTCCTCCATTCTTTTTTATGAAACAAAGCAGGATCAAAAAGAGAGGCGAAAGATACCAGATGGACATTCAAACTCATACGTCTATAATAAACTAACCATGGCTAGAAAAGTAGGACATTTGTTTATAATTAGGAACATATATGTCTTAATATATATGTGGGTAATTCATGGCAATATGCGTATGTAATAAACCTATATTTTTATTTACATTCATAGTGTAACAGCCAGAAAAAGAAAAAGACAAACAGACAAACAATAGTACACAAAACACAACATAGAAAACTAAAGACTGAGCATCTCGAACCCCACCAAAAACTAGGGGTGATCTCATGTGCTCCGGAAGGGTAAGCAGATCCTTCTCCACATGTGGCACCCGGCGTGTTGTTCATGTTAGTACAAATCCGGTAATAAGTCTAATTCGGTAGATCACATTCGGGAAAAGGGGACGCGATTGTAGTTACGACATAAGGAACATATCCGCTATCATCTGTGAAACGGATATTCCATAACGGTCAACCACCTCGTGATGGCGTTCGTAAAACTTACGAAGGGATGATTTCAACTTCACCACTTGGCACTCTTGGTTTAATATCTTCCTTGTGTTCAGCAACCCTCTTTCAATTTGTCTTTTTGTTTATAATGGGGAATACTTGTGTAAAGGGTAAAAAGGCAAATTTGTTCATACTATTGCAAGAAAGAGGAAAAATACTTAAATGTTTTAAGTATCCACATCTGATTCAAGTTAAAGCCACCACTAGAGTAGGTAGTTTCACAATAACAATGAAACCCGACTTTGATTGCTGATGAAATTGATGTTAATGATTTCGAAAGAGATTTCGTGGAGCACCTAGTAATATAAAGCTGTTTTTAATGGAATCTATATAAGTTAGGTATCCAATACAGTGAAGGAATATCCAGTCTTCATCTTTGGTCACAATTCCAAAGGAACAATGAACAGACCTATGAATATTCAGAATTAAATCCTTGGAAAGTGTCGTTTGGGTATATGTTGAGTTTTCAAGTGAATTGTCAATACCTAATTCCTTTATCATGCAGTTTATGTAATGTGATTTACACACAAATGCAATGTTGTTTGGGGTTTTATCTGTGGGAATAAACCCATTTTGGTCATGGAGGTAGAACTGATGCATAGCAATATTTAGGTGTAGCATGTGTATTCATAGACCAATTCAATGGAGTAGGGTCAATTTCCCCTATATTTGTTTCACTCACAGGATCAGCATATAAAAGGGATCACATCCTACTGGAAATTGAATATTAGAGAGTCTTTATCATAAAATTAAATAGAATTTCAAACATTTGAATATTTCCATAAAATCAAAAAAGTTATTCAACATTACCATGGGGTTATTTAAGGCATTTTCATACCCAATTACAAATTTTACATCCTTTGTCAATTTTTGTATCCAATGACACCGGAAACTAAAATGAATTGTTTATTATCCAATAGACAATGCATATCTTTACTTCGAACATAATTTTGTATTTTGTAAACGATGCCCTTCTTGTACATTTTTGGGATAAATGCTAAAAATTTGCAAAAAATCTCTCAAAATCGCGAGTCGGGGTTTTTATCAGGCAATTATTTATTTGATGGCAGATTTAGAAATAAGCCAAATTATATAAAACCTAAGGCTACACATATTTGGCTGTTACACTATGAATTTAGGTAAGAATATAGGTTGTTCACATACACAGGTGTAAAAAGAAATAACACTGTCATGAATTACCCACATATATATTAAGACATATATGTTCATATTATAAACAAACGTCCATCTTTTCTAGCCATGGCGTTGTCAGTTTATTTTCGACTTTTGAGTTTGAATGTCCCTTTGGTATCTTTCGCCTCTCTTCTATGGAAATAATTTTAAATGATACTAAAGCACGTTTTTTAAGATTGCAATATAAAAATGTTACTTACTACTGATAAAACTATGTACACTGTTTGTGTCAACAGTTGCTAGATCTCCACCTTGACTTTTACATGACTGGCGTGCCAACAACCAGCTCTTCTTCGTGTCATTAAATTGGAAACAGTTTCCACTATTTAATGTCCACAGGTCATCACATTGCAAATTTGCTGTAATTTTATGGTGCAAACAATATAAAATACATTCATATAAATTAAATTGTTTGTAGGAAACGATTGCTAGTAAGTAAACAAATAACAAATTAGTTCCTGCCTCGCAAATTTCTGTTGAGGCTGAATAAGTGGAACTAAAAAATATGTATTCTACTGCCTCGATGAAGGACAGTCTACATTTTGAAAAATGTCTAAGACCAAGCAGATTATTTATGGTCTTTTTTTATTAATCCTATCTAATCCCTTTTTCATCTTTTTGATTTGTTTAAATATTTTTTAATTTTATTTTTATTTTGATTTCGTTTTTTTTTTTGCATTTCTATTTTTTGTGTTTTAGTTTGGGGAAATGGATGGGATTTTTTTGTTATGTTTTTTCTTTGTTGTTAATTAGCTTTAGACAAAGATACATGATAAATCTTTTTACTCAATTTACTTACGCTGAGGTGTAGTAACTGTCAACACTGGCTGATTAAACTTGACAGTACAAATGAATGCTTTTTGTGAACCGCAGTCCGGTGTTGTTCTCCAAGTACCTTTAATATCATCTAAAATACGATCAAAAAGTAGAAATATTAGTACTGATATATAATGATATAAATACCAACACTTTTATACGGTTTCTCCTGCTTATGGAGGTAAGTACAATCCAGTTACATTGTGGAATATTTTTTTCAAATGCTGCAATTAAACTTTAGTTTTGATTTTAAATTTATTTTAACATGTAACAAATATTCAATACTCAAATCTCATAGACCAACATAATGTGAACTGGACATAACGAACGCATGCACTTATATACAAGCGTATATACATTGAAACGAATAAAAAAAAATACATGTAACAGTATAATATAACATTGACCAAGGCTAAAGTAGAATAATAAGAATTTATATATGAATAAATAAAATTATTATATAAAATTTACCAATTACAAAACTAAAAACAACGGAGCGTAATCTAATGTTTTCTATTGTTCGATAATGTTATCCTTAAAATAAAATTAAGGAGATATGGTATGATTATAACTATAAAACTAGAGAACGACGGACGTTCAGCAACTACATGTCATCGTTTGGTCTTCAAAACCTATACCGGATACTACAGTTAAACAGTTCCCGGTATAAAAAATGTGAAACAATTCAAACGAAAAAATCACCGACCTGGCCTAAAATGGTGCTAAACCAATAAAAGAAAAAACAAACAGGACAAACAACAACCCACCACAACCACTGAACTATACGCCCCTGACTCGGTAGGTCTATAGAAATATTTCCGCGCTTATTCCGGAATCTCAAAAAAAAACTGGCCGTTTAAATCGTTTAAGGGACTGTACACTTAATGAAATCCGTGCATTCCTAGCTCAAGTGAAGGTTAAATTGAAAAAAATGAAAGAAAAGCTAAATTAATTAAGAATTGTTTTAAGGATAAACTACCAGAAGAAGAAATACTTGTTTGCCTCTAAATCAACACCTAAATTCTATATAACATGTAAAGTTGTGATTTTATTCTAAATAATACGTACTTGTGTTTATATAGACACAATCCTGTCTATTCGGTGTATTCAAAGGTGGATTAGAGTTCCAGTTTTGGTATATGATTTCAGCATGATGCCAATTCTTGAATACTGCCGTTGATCCATTTGTCCAGGCGAAGGTGCTAGAATTGCTATCTACAATGAAACTTGCAACTGCTAAAGACTATGCATGTTATCGTAATTCACCGTATCTTTATCTTAAAGATGGTCAACAATTGTATTGTTTCTACACCAAAATATATATAAAGTTATGCCATTTTTTTTTGGATATTCGTAATTGAAAAAATGAATATGATTTCCTAATTGGTATGGACACTTTCTAAGAAAACCTCACTTTTGTATAAAAGTAACAGCTTACGTAGGAGATAAAACAAAACTAAGATAAGAAAATCATCATGTTGTATCGGGCATAAATGGATGTATTAAACGCACTCAAACATAAATATAGATGAACGTCCACAATCGAAAGTATATGAATAAAATCATGAAAACACGGAGATATAACAGCTGATTTTCAACAACATGATTGAAGAGTCATACAGAACATTTTTTTTTTGAGAAATCAAATTTTAAACTGACTACCTCCATGGTAGTTACAGTGAAATACTTTGAGTTTCAATCCATAAAGTCCAAAAATAAGCAATGTCATCTTACCCGTTGCTCCAATCCAAAACGAGTCCAATCCTGCTACTCGTAACTCATCAAGGTATGAATTAAGGAAATTTGTGACAGTTGTTCTACAACAGGAAAACAAAATGTAACATATAAATCCCGAAAGAATATCGAAATCATCAGGAAAATCATGATGCACAAAATGAATAGGATAATCAAAACTCAGGCTGTGGCTTATTTAGCTACCTTCTTGTAGTGGCGAGCAAATTTTGATCCTGCTTTCCAATGTATGTCCAGTTGGTTTCGTCTTGTTGGTGCATGCTCTGTGCAATTTGTTTGTTTTGTTTTTTTTTTTTTTGCTTTTGTGAAGTGTGGTCTAGGTGTACAGGGAGAGTGGCCGAGTGGCTTAAGTAGTTAAAAAAACTAGCCTGTCAACACTGAGTAAAGGTTCGAATCCCGCAAGTGGCAAGGTGCCTATAATTAATGACTAGCATTTGTCAGTTTTCATGACGATGGTTGGTGGTTCACTCCGGGTACTCAAGCTTCTCCAATCAATAAAATACTAACACCCACAATGTAGTTTAGATAAACACTTACAATCAATCTACCATTCACTCTTACTAGAAATCTGAAAGAGGGACGAAAGATACCAGAGGGACATTCAAACTCACAGATCGAAAACAAACTGACAACGCCATGGCCAAAAATAAAAAGACAAACAGACAAATAAGTTGAAACATGAGTTGTTCATTGTTGTTTTTAGTCTATTTTTTCGGAACAGTCGGGTGTTGATGGTTGGAGTACATTTTATGTATGATATGAATAAAAGTAGTTTTGCGTATACGGCGACCAAACAGCATTCAAAAGACACAAAAAAATCTGAATAATACTGGTGATGTTGGTGTTCATGCCATCCATCAACGTTGTTTGTCCGATCAACCTTAAAGAACGAGGTGATTTAATAATAATGAAAAACAAAGAAGTAAACTTAAGTTATATTCTAAAGAAAAATCAACATCTATCTATTTTGTCTCTCGTTTTTTGTTAAATTTCTGGCGGAGATCTTCATGGGAACATTGCATACCCTAAATACACATTAATTCAAACAATACATCTTCGGTTACCAGGACCTTTAATCCTTTTTTGTCTCATCCATTATATCTATTGTATGAAATTAAAAATGACATTTTACCCATAAATTGACACTTGTCTTCCACCTTGACTTTTACAGAACTGGTCAGCTTGCTGCCATGATAACAAATACTGTGTGTTGAACTGAAAACATCTGTTTTGATGGGCGACCCATCCCGGCTGGCATGTACCTGATGAGAAAAGACGAAAGCTTTCGACAAATGCGTTATTTCAAATTAACTAACAAAACATTTGACAATAATTTACAATGTTTTAGCAATTTCATGATGAGAATGGAAAGCATCGTCTACCTGATTAGCAGAAAAATGAGTAGACGGGAGTGTACTAGTATTACTAAAAAATGGAAAATATCGGTCAAATTCAAAATATGTACAAATTTCAGCGCGCATGTGTGTTTCTTCAATATTTCTGATTAGATAAGGGAGACAAATTTAGAAATGCTGATATTTTGTATTGGCCGCTTTGAACATAAAATCATAGTAATTTGCAAAGTGAGATGTATAATTACAGAAAAAAACATTGGCAATTGTTCGTGAACTGTGTTTTCTACATACTTTTATTTATTTTGAATTTAACCTTAAATATAAATGTATATATAATAGAAGTAAGCATCTTTTCTTCTTTTTTATGTTACTGTTAAATAAAATAATATTATACTAATTTTATAAGGTGACAAGCTAGTACCTTCAGGTTTTTTGCAGATGAAGTTTTGTAAAATATTGCATGGCATTGGCTGCCAACCTGTTTTTGATCCGGGATTATATGTAACAGCTACACAAGTTGCATTATATTGAGATCTAAAAGACAATAAATAAATAAATATCTATACTTCTCATCATTAACTCTATTCAAATGTTTCCCCTAAGTGAATTATATGGTATAAGGAAATATGTAAATTTTAATTATTGACAAATAATTTCGAACCCAGCATTTAAAAATAAAAGCATGTGGACATAAAATTTAGCATTGTTGTCTAGGAGGTATACCTACAACAAAACTGCATAAAAACAAGTGATTGACATGCATATTAAACGCAGTTTGCAGCCATTATGGACCTAAAATTGAATATATACAGCACAGTTTTTTGCATAAAAAGCTGAGGAGAAAACTATCTGTTTTCAAATTTTTAATCACTTTAGATAAGTCATCCGAGGCAACACAAAAAATATATGTGGGTCGTATGACTTTCAAAAGGAGCGAGACCGGGTGCGTCGACAAGGTAAAACCGATGCCCAGGTATGGCGATTTAAATGCTCTCTGAGGTGGCCTGTTGCAAGGCATACTTTCTGATCCTATCCAACCTACACTCATATTCCAGTTGCAGTCCAAATATCCCAACCTTTATCCCGGTCTAACATCCTTTAATATTGCATATTGAATTACTTGATAATGTGTAATAGTTTTGAAAGTGCGTGAAATATTTGCAACTGGACGTTTAGAAAGCATCAATCAATTACTAGTACTCATCAAATATCTGCAAAAAGTGCTAACAACGAAAGAGAAGACCATGATTTTCGTGATTTTTTTTATTTCAAATTTGAGTTTGAGAATTCTAAGAAAAGATATATATATATAAAGAAATTTAGTACTGGTGTATTTACCTTTGCAAGCCTGGTTGTTGTTTCCAGTATGTAAGTGAAGACGATAAAGAAGTATTTGATGGCACTATCAACCAGGTATATGAGCGTCCCTAAAAGATGATAATTAACGTACATATATCGAGTTTAAAAATACAGTTGCAAGTTTATTGATAATTTGCCTGCAGTCAGTAAAGATATCTTCAGTCTATGTTCAGACTGTTCGGTATTTTACCTGTTCACATCAACAACATACTGAATTGTCTAAAAAGACACTTAATTGACTGCAAGCAAATTATCTGAAAAGTACTGAAATTACCGCAATAGATAAGTCTGAATCTGTTTGACTGTGCATGATTATTTCCAATTGTTCACATATAAATGTAATTTCGTAATTGACAAGTTAGGTTGAAATCTGGGTATTTAATCAATTATCAATATTCAATCATTTGCAGGTGTTGATGGTTAAGAGTTCTACAAATACGTGGCGCTCAAATCAATTTGGTTGACCGTAGCCTTCCGTTCATGTAGTGCATTTACTACGTAACAGTTTATCTATATGTATAAGCGAGTATCTTTAGATTATGTTATATACAAACTTTATCATTGCACTTATTTTTGAGGTGTTGGTGGTTTGTGCCACAGAATTGTGTACGCGTCTAGTGTGGGTTAGAGCCATAGGCTCTTATACCAACGCTGGCTAGCCTGCTTTGTAAGTGAAAAGAATGCCGAGTGAGTAAGTCGTTTTGCCAGTACATAGCCTCTACACTATTCAAGACTTCTGCAATGCCTCCTCGCGACAGCACACGGTAACTAGGGTCAAGCATCCTAGGCATAATTGTAGAGGATCTCGGAGCAGCAAGTGCCCTAGAAATGCAGTGTGTAGGCCCACCGGCGCGTGGACATGCCCTTGCACTCATCAACCTTGCCCCAGCTATGGGAAAATATCCGGATAGATGGGCGTCGTTAGCCAAGAAAAGCAACCCATCTAGGAGAAGGAATAACTCCAAAATTAAACCGGTTAGATAAGGCTCGTAAGTCATGGCAGACAGCTTATCCAGAGGAAGGATACCTCGAGAACAAAATTCCTGGCCCTCAACCTTGGTTGAGGGTTGAGCGCAAGACCAACTATCTCGCCTTGTAAAAAAATCACAGTTGCAGAAACATTGACGAACAAAAATACATTTACTGACTCGGTAGAGAGGGTCTCTTCAACAACAAGACATATGACGCATTGCAGGGAAATCCTAAAACGAAGCTGCAAAGCCGATCAACCTTCTGACACCTAAGTCAACCTCTATACTTGGGACCTGGGTTGTAAGAACCATGTACCAAAGTGGCAAAGCAGCAATCATAGCCAATGAAATGAAAAAGTACAAAATTGAAATACTGGGATTGAGCGAGACTCGATGGATTTCAACTGGTAAGACAACGCTTGCTACTGGTGAGACTATTCTTTATTCTGGACACCAAGAGGATGGTAGTCCACAAACAGAAGGAGTTGCCATGATGATGTCAAAGGAAGCCAATAGGGCACTTATATCTTGGGAACCTACAAGTTCAAGAATAATGACTGCAACCTTTAGAACAAAGCACAAGCGAATAAGAGCAAATTTTATACAGTGCTATGCACCAACAAATAATGCAGACGAAAATGACAAGGATAATTTTTACAACACCTTAAATGGAATTCTAAACCAGTAAAAAGAAGAAGATCTAACAGTACTGATGGGAGATTTCAATGCCAAAATAGGAAACAGCAATATAGGGTATGAACAATCAATGGAAAAACATGGACTAGGCCAAATGAATGAAAATGGAAATGGAAATAGATTTGCAGAATTATGTGCCAACAATAAATTTGTTATAGGAGGGAGTATATTTCCACACAAACACATCCACAAGGCAACATGGGTATCACCAGACCATGTCACAGAAAACCAAATTGATCATTTCTGCATCAACAACAAATTTAGAAGATCGCTTCAAGATGTTTGTGATCAGATCATCAGCTCCTGATTGGAAAAGTAAGAATGAAGCTAAGGAAAGTAAACATGAAAAACCCATTAAGGGTGAAATACAATGTCAACTTTTTGAGAGAAAAGACAGAGAAAGAACAGTTCAACATCACACTTTCAAACTAATTCCAGCTGCTAGAAGAACTTGATAACATTGAAGACCAGTGGAGTCAGATAAAAGAGATAATAAACAGCACATGTGAAGAAATTCTTGGTAGAAAAATCCAAACCAAAAAAGAGTGGATTACACCAGCCACTCTTAGAAAAGTGCAGGAGAGGAGACAGAAAAAAGACAAATTAAATAGAAGCAAACCCAGAAAATCAAAAGCTGATGCTCAAACTGAATACAACAAAATTCACAAGGAAATTA